TTCTCGTTTAGACATGATTGAGCTGTCCTAAATGTCTCTACAAAGTTATCTTACATTATTCTTTGGTGAATTCAATTTAGGATACAGGCTAGTACTTACCCTTGTGCGATGGCAGCATCAGAATCAGTGGAGCGTCACCGAGAGACTGATGTAACATAAAAGATTGATGTAGGATAGTTATACCTGATAATGGAGACGACATGTCAGCCCGGGAGCAAAGCAAACTGATGACACGTCAGTGATGCGTGAAGACTCGAGTTCTGGTGACCTCAACAATATTTGGACAATAAAATCACATTTAAAATGTCTTACTGTTATTATATACAATACAATTATCAGCAGATTATAACAAAAAAACTCACTTCACCTGTGTCATTTGTCAGTTGCTCCGTCCAAAAATGCCTTCTTCCATACTATATAAGAGGTGAAAAACAGTATTTCTGCCGATTAGTATGTCCGACTTCATAGTATAAATAGCAGAAAGTACCCGGATGACCTGTTGGTGAGATTCTGAAGTGCATGTTCAATGGACACTTTACTGTTACAGGAAGATAATTTGTGAATGACAGTGAAGTGACACAACTGACACCGTAGGTCACATGACAGTGACAACATGGCGGATGTTACATCCTACACACACAAAAAACAATGCACTTTTTAATGATCACAATGTTTCAAACCGGATGTGGTGCCTAATATGCGATTTCGAACACAGAGAGCAATTTTTATTGGAGATATGACGTCCGTTTTCCTCAAGTGGCCTGATTCTGAACAGCATCTATTGTTTTTATCAACCCGGTCTCATCCCAAGACGTCATATAACTGACGTTTTGGGACGTCTTTTGACCATACGTCAATATTCGCCTTTTTAGGGCCCCCTTAAACGTCGGTAGATGAGGTTATGGGATCCTAACTCTACCCCAGACCTAAACTTAACCCTAAACCTAACCTGTCACCTAACTGACGTTAAAGGTAAAGCGTCAGTTGCATGACGGCCCGGGATCGCCATCTACCGACGTTTAAGGGGGCCCTAAAAAGGCGGATATTGACGTACGGTCAAAAAACGTCCCAAGACGTCAGTTATATGACTTTTTGGGATGAGACTGTGTTATTTTTATCATTTACAACTTAGATCTAGTATATATATATTTTTTTAAATAAGCAGCTCGTTAATTGATATTGTGATGACATACAGATATATTTAACATGAATTTGTGTAGCGCTTTTCACAATAGCGCCTACACATTGTTTCAAATCAGTTGCGATATTGCAGCCCGTTCTCATCTTAGGGCATCATATACTGACGCTTTTGACATCTACATCCAACGCACATGGCACGCGTTAGCGTCAACATGAGACGCAGATATATTGGCCAGAAGGTGCCTCCTAGTGGTCTAAACCTACCCCAGAACTAAACCTACCATAACCGAACAAAGCTCTGTGCATGTTATATTGACGCTAAAGGGAGCGTTGACTCATGTGCGTTGGATTTAGACGAAATTTCAAAAGTGTCACTATAGGATGCCCTAGGATGAAAATGTCCGTTGGATATTGCAATATCTTAATGCCTAGTAGCATTCAGCTGATTTGATAATATTGTTTACATCTTCCGGCGATGGTAAACAGTCATGCAGTAGAGATATGCTATTCACGAGTTCACACTTACATCAATTAAACAGAGAAAAGATTATGCGTATTTGGCGTGCTGTCCGGGGGGAGGGCTCCGAGCTCGGATTTCTGCCCGAACCCAGAGTGCTCCCCCTGTTGTTGTAAGAGTATTTAGGACAAGAAGTGAGGAGATGGGGTGGTGGAGGGATGCTGTTAAACTGTCAATGAATTGAGGTAAGTTTGTTGTATATATACACCTCTAACTTGTTGATTGGGTTGATTAACAAAGTGTGCTCCACTCATGTCTAATTAGGCTTGATAACCTGAATGTGCTCCACATGTGTTTAATTATCTGAACGTGCTCCTCCCGAACTTTGTTAATAAAACATCATTAGTATTAATCCCTCATATGTGATAATATGAATGCTGAAAGCTGGGCATATATTCAACTTTATATTACAATATTTGCTTTGCATGATATGTGGGAAAAGTTGGATATAGAGCTGTGCGATAATATACTTTACGTGTGTCTTTTGAGGTCACTGTAGTAGTTTGTTCTTTTAAAATAAGAAAAGGTAGACAAAGTTAAACCAATCATTACTCATCAACCAATCTCCAACCTCACAAACCCTTAAACTCACCCACACACATTGACTCTTGCACAGACACGCAATTATTTCACACGCCATACAAATTAAACCAAAACACAGACAGTGACAAGCACAGCCAGTCTCGAGAGGGTTCCCTACAGTTTGACATCAAAGAAAGGCAAGGCCTCTCTCTATCCCAGAGAACCCAGACACCCTCTTACATAACCCGATTCTCCTATAACGAGCCGCGCGCTCACACAATCAGCCCGTGCACCCACGCACACACCCGACCGGGGAGCAGCCGCCAGTCAGGTTTCCAAGCGGTAAAACGCCTCCTTTATTCCCAGCGGTGGTGTTGTGGGTGTAAAAAAATAATCATTCAAACACCTCGAATTGGACTGATTTGAGTAGGCTGGGCTGTTATCTATTGTTGTTGAACCGTGTGGACGTGTTGCATCAAGAAAAAAAAAAAACGAGGCTGATTTAGCGCGCGCGCTGGATGGCATCGCTGGCTCGCGGAGATAAAACAACTCTACATTTCGTTGCCGTGGTATCTGTATTTGTAAACAGGAAAAATAGACAAAGAGTATTTTTGGAATTTAACATATTTGTATCACTGTGATAAATTATAAGGCTACTGTCTGCATGAAAATGGACTGAACTGTCTGTCTGTTCATACGTTTCAGGGGCAAACCTCACGGGCAAATTTATTTTCATATCCATGATATGGTCTAATTTAATAGTTAATGATATGCTGGAACCATTTTTCCAAAGCTGTGCGGAAATGCACATGGTGAGGTGTGTTAAACTTGGATAATCTTCCTCAATCATCTCTGACTGTCTCTCTCTATATGTGTGTGTGTGAGTATGTGAGACAGAGAGAGAGAGTGTGTATGGCTGTGGCATAGAAGAGACAGCCAAATCAATCAGTGTCAGTGTTCTCTGGGGTGTCACAGGAACCCGCACAGTCACAGCCGTGGGACATGTAGTCTCTGCAACGGTTGTGCCCTTAAACGAATTGTGACCGAGTGGGTAACTTTTCTTCTGAGTGGCTCCCTGTGCAATACTTCTCCGCCCTCTTTCATTTCAGGTGTTATCCATCTGCACCATAGAAGAAATAGGATAAGCTAAATGAAAAATAGATGTCTCTTTAACAGCCAGATGCCATAAGGTCAAGTTAATCTAACCCAAAGGCATTGGTTACATTTGAACACTGGTCAGGATGCGTCTCCTTTTCAAGTCAATAAATAAACCATACCACACAGTGCAGTTTTTGAAAATGGTATTTTAGCCTACCTGAGCAAGTGGAGACTTGGGGAGCCAGAAGGTTTGGAGCAGATGGGTGCCAGGGTTGCCAATAAGCTTTTCGTTAGGTTGTTCCATGAAACAATTATTTCCAATGTTGTAGGAGTCTCAGTCTTAAACAATGTAGAGCGGGTCTCAGTCTCATGCCCACGGACCGTCCACAGTCTGGTACTGATCATCTGATGCATATTGTAAATTAAACTGAATAGTAGTCTTGTTTCTCGACCTGATCATCTCTAATGTGTTTGGCTGGAAGTACAAGCACATTATTTTTCTATATTTTGCATGAAAACAAAGTCATGTTTGCCGATATGCACAAGCATTTTTGATGAAGACATAATCCACGGTCAGGTTGTTGGTGCCATCACAGAGAAATTCAGTTTTGTTTGAGGCACTTGAAGTAAACACCCTAAACAGAATACAGCCTATTATGTGTACATTCTGCTCTGTTTCAATTATGTATGTGAAATGTAGTCATTTCAGTCATGTAGTTACATTTTCAGCGAGTGTTTTTAATTTATAGTTTATTATTTATAATAATAATACTATCATTTATTTTATATAAACCCTCCCCAAATGGCATCACTAAACCATCTGTGGATGATCATGTCAGTCAGAAGGTTTATGGCTATAATAAGCTGTTATGTATTGTGATGTCTGAAACACTCGGGGGCGGGGCTTTAGCTCCCAGACATCAGTGCATTATTTTTGAGTATAATATTAGAACAACAATTCTTCACGTGTATTTCCCTAAAAATAAGTTTAGTTAGACTGTACAGTACACACTGTTCTCCTGTTCTGTGATACTATTATTTTGAGCATGCATGGTTGACCTGTCCCAGATCCAATTATAGGTGATAACCAGGGTCAGAAATACTCGTTGATGTTTTTTTTTTATTTATTTTTTATGTTGTCCTTTTTTAGATCTTGAATTCACAGTCCATTACAGTTCTTTCATTTCTTAAAAAAAAATGAAAGGATATTATTATGTATTAATTTTATACGAAATTGATTGGTGAGTTTAATAATTGGTGATTTTAAAATATCGCTTGGTAGAGACAACGCTGCGCGAGCTGTTACTTCAACCCCTTTATTTGTGACAGGACGCCCTCACGTGCACCTGCGCGCTCTCAGTACAAGTTGAGGCGCACGCGGAGGCTCCCCGCGCGTGATGTGTGAACGGGGCAGCTGTAAACAGCGGTGGAGCGCGCTCACGGATTTTGTTTCTCAACGAGGACACCGAAAGAGACCGGCCGCGCAGAGCGGGTGGAAAGGGACGTCTCTCCAGCCGCCGTTTAACTGGACATAATTCTAAAACTGGACCGGAAACTCGGATCTGCTCCCGTGCAACCGAGGTGGGCTGACTGAGTCGCCGAGGGAGTCCCTTTGAGGCGGGAAAACACGGAATTACTGTTCAGGAAGGCTAATTTTCTAAGTTGTTCTTTTTATTTTTTGTATTTAGCGGCTCTCTTGCTCCTCAAACGCGAAGACCAGAGTGTTTGATGAAGATTCTTTTAACGACACACACTGGTGTTAAAACCAGTCACAATACTGCACTTAATGGTTTCACATTCCTGAGGCGGGAATTCATCCGAAACGGGAGCCTCGCGCATCGGATTCCGTCGTCACCGAGTGAATTAATAAATAAATAAAGTCTGACTGACTGGACATACAGACGAGCTGAAGAGTATCACGTTTGACAGCTTTTTGGAGGCGTCTCACCTCGATTCAATGCAAATACGCCAAAGGAGAAGAGGAGGGAAAGGGGTCTCTCGGTTATCAATGGCAAACACCGGAGCGCACGCGACTGGAGCGAGAAGCTCGAGACCATCTCGTGTGTCGCCGCGCTCTGGCCGCGAGTGAGTTTTAAAAGGCGCGCGGCGAGGAGGAGAGAGCGAGCACCGTGAAGTTGAAGATAATCGCCAGTCAAGACAATAGACGGGTGGAAAATTTGTTTCATGTGGCACATTAATGAGAAAACAGCACCCGTCACCGCGAGTTTCCGAGATTGCTGAGAACATGGAAACGTGCAGCCTAATTGTTGACGAAGCTGAAGATGACTGAAGCTTCGTGAGAAAGATAACGAGCGTGTTTTCGGTGAGAGAGGGTGAAGTTTATTCGACATGCCCGAGAATGTCTCGCTCGTCAGGAACCGGACGGAAGTCGGGCAGGGTCGCGCTTGGGGTAGCGGAGCGGGCGCGCGGCCAGCATGGGTCGTCATGGTGCTGGCCGGTGTGCTGATCTTCACGAGCGTGGTGGATGTGCTCGGTAACGTGCTGGTGATCATCTCGGTCCTCAGAAATAGAAAACTAAGAAACGCGGGTGAGTGCGCGCGTTTAGTCCACATTAATTTACTGAAAGATGTTAACACAGGATGGGTTCTTGCAAATTTAACGTAACGCATTCCAAGACATTCCTTTATCAAAGTTAAAATACAATGCAAGAAGAAAAAAAAACCGCGTCCCTTGTGAATGGCGCCTATAAGTGGATGAGAATCATTCACTGGCTCATGACTAGGAGTTATTAGGATAATACTCGTATGACTCATTTGCAGTAGGCTATAAGAGGAGGGTCATTACTGTGAACAGCTGTCTTGCCACTCTGATAAATTCAAGAATAAACCTAGCGCTTCATTCACAGGGTTACCAACCATTCACGTGCACTGCATCGTCTGAGCATGAATGACTGTCTCGTTCAAAAAAAACTATAACTGACTCGGCATTCGATTATTTAAATATGTAAAAAAATATAATCATTTATATAATCAAAATGATTATATACAATATATAATCATTTTTAAACTGCCACGCAGACCCAATGTCTGTTTATTGTTTTTGTTTGTTATATTAGCTTTAAATGTTAGTTATAGCCTATAAATAGAATAACCTGCTGATATGTTTCCCCATTTGCCCACTGATGCATTTAGTCAAGAAAAAAAAAAAAAAAAAAAACAATATGTTTCACAGACATGAGTTTGACATTACATAACTCACAGATATCAAAGACGGTCAGAGCCTGAGAATATCAGTGTGTGCACTCAAGGCTGCCTGACAGTGATACGGATGTTTGAGGAACATCATGTGAATGCGAGCCAGAGAGTGGTGGTATAGATGTTTGGATATATAAATGTAATTCCAAGAAAATCTAAATCTCATTTGGTGTAAAACAATTCGCATACACATGTGTATCTGAGAATGAGTTCCCGTGTGAATTGCATGTCTGTAACAGCAATATCCCAGATTTAATTTACCTCCAGTATGATTCTTGTTGTGTTGGCGCGAGAGAGAATGCAAAGCAATTAGTGTTAATTCCACCCAGAAAAGCATTTTTTTTTAATTGGGGTGCCACCTTTCATTAATATGAAGGACCATACGGTTTTAAATTATGGATCATCATTTGCTTTTTTTCAGCATTACAATCTGGCAAAGCTTCTCAGATTCAGGCTTCACATACCTATAATGTCTTTATGTAGTGAAATGTTAGAAACTTCAAAAGCACATTCATTCTCCAAAGGTCAGAAACTGAGATGTGAGTGATAGTGAAGAGATAAGCAAATGACCATGAAAGAAACTAAAAAAAATGTCAGAGAGAGAAAAAGGGCTGTTTTAAAATATTATTCTGTGCTCTATATGATTTGCAATATCTGACCTCAGAATGCCAGAGTTCTTGTCTTCTGTTATTTCTGAAGGACAGATGGGGTTTTAAAATGCTTTTTTTTTTTAAATGCTCACTAGAGCAAATGAAAAACTGTCAATGGGAACAGGAAAAAGACATAAAAAGTGAGAGTAGGTAAACACAGATTTGAAGAACCGCAATATCTCCAAGCAGGCAGTCTGTCAAAGCATTCGACAGCGCTGTGTTATTAGGTCAGGGTTTGATATGTCAGCTGCGTTCTGTAATAGTCATCACTCATCAGTAATATTGAGTGTGTGAGAGTGAGAACAGACAGAGCGAGGAGCATGGGAAGAGACGGCTTTTCTGTGCATGTCATTGTGTCTTTGGAGATTTTTGACATTTTCTTATCTTGAAATGTGCAGGTGGCATCATCCCATCACTGTCTTAACAAAGCCACGGTAAACACGGCGGTGTGCCCGTTTACCAGAACAGCGCTGCACTCCAGCTCTCAAACAAAACATTGTTGTCTACAAAGGGATAAAGAGAGACCGAAATTACAGAAATGTTGCAGTCATTCCCCCCTTAAACACTCTTATTCTTCATCTCTATCATGCTTTCAATTCAGTCCTTCGCTGTTGAAGTTCATTTTTGTTGAGCTGGTGTTTATTTAGGCAATTAGATTGGGTTTTTGACCTCTCGTGTTATGGGCTTTTGCTTGTGTCTGGTAGTGTGTGTTTGTGAGGACCTCAAGGTGACATTCAGTGTCTCATTAGCATAGAGTGATGGTGGTTTGCTGGTGCTCTATGTAGATACTCAAAAGCCATGCGATTAATGTTGTGTGTGTCTGCCATTGTTGACTACATCCTTCATTTTGACCTGTGATGGTTAATTTGCAGGGTATACTGTAGCACAAGTGCTCAAATGATGGCATGGTTGTTTTTTGTTGTTATTTTACATGCCCGATGTTGTGTGTGTGTCCGGATCAACAGCAGGAGCAGGTTGTATTGATTAACACATCAGATGTGTTTAGTTTTCCTGAAGGTTCAATTTGCTTTGTGGTGCTGGTGGGAATGAAATCCTGCATACCCAAAAGTATTTTTTCCATTCATTTTTTCCCATAGGGATTTAGAAAAATTCTTTGTTAAAGTCCCCGTGAAATCAAAATTGAACCTATTTACTTTGTTAGCGCATATTACTAGTCTTGTGGTGAACAATTAATCCGTGCAAGTGAATATATATTAAAAAAATGTTTTACCTTAGTAATCTTTAATCAAAATCTGAAAAGTTACTTCCGGTCTGGAGCGGTTTCTTTTTCTGATGACGTAGGTTTCACAGTTTGGGTGGGGAAACGCTTAACCACTCCCCTCAAACCGTTAGTTTGCTATGAGCGAGAGATGGAGAGGAGGAGCGCTAGAGTAAAACCCTGCCCTCTGTTCAATATTCCGTTTCGCTTGTAAATACGTCACAGCACTGGAGAAAAATCGTTTGCAACTTCCGGTTCACGGGGACTTTAAAGCGTTATAAGCCATGAACCAAGCCAATCAGCTACGAGGTGAAACGATTTGAAGCAAAAACGTTTTAGAAAATCGGGCAAAAAGACAAAGGGACAAGACAGTGTAGGCTACTTAACGGTTTTAGTGAGGGAATGAACTACAATTCCATGAAGCATTGCGAAGAGCAAGAGAAATATAAAGCTATTTATTACTCACAATTAGGGCTGTCAAACGATTAATCGAGATTAATCGCATCCAAAATAAAAGTTTGTGTTTACATAATATATGTGGGTGCACTGTGTATAATTATTTTGTATATATATAAATACACACATGCATGTATATTTAAGAAAAAAATATTATTTATATATAAAATATTTATATTTATATATAATATAAATTATATATAAATCAATATACAGTATATACATGACAATATTTCAAGCATGTGTGTGTATTTATATATATATATATATATATATATATATAATAATTATACACAGTGCACCCACATATAATATGTAAACACAAATTTTTATTTTGGATGCGATTAATCACGATTAATCGTTTGACAGCCCCACTCACAATTTATTTTACAAATGTTGATTGTTTATATAAAAACAAAGTATTTTAAGTTTATTGCAAAATAGGCATTATATACACACATTTAAGTATTTTAAGAGCTCAGAGAGATCAAATCGATTACATCATTCGCATTACTTCATGGGAGTGGGCGGAGCTAACAAGATCTTTTGCTGTGCATTGCTTTTCTTTGACTCTCTGATTGGTGTACTTTCTGTACAGCATCATGGGTAATGTAGTTTTCACAAGGAATTAAGCTGTTAAAGGTGCTGTATGTAAGTTTTTTTTTTTTACTGTACTAAAAAATAAAAATACCAAATTATGTTATAGATATTTAGGAAACATGCTAAGTTTTTCACATACTCATTTCTCTCAAAAACAATGCTACAGTCAGTTATTTTACTTTGAAATGTGCTTTTCATCTCCTAATGTCTGTTTTTGTTTTGGACTGTGTGGGTACACCCACTGCCAATTTACCCAATAGTGTTTCAAACCCCCGGTTGCCATTTGGCAGAAAAAAACACAGTGTACTGCAGCCATGTAAGCCAGCAAACAAACAGAGATCACAGATTGTACCCAACCAAAAAGAAGCCTCAGCATCCATCTAAAAATCTCTACGAATGGGAGCATATTAAAGCCCTGATAAATCAACTTAGTAGTGTGTTAAGTCCCATGGCCTTCCATTGTCAATTGTGCTCACTCCGGTTGCGTGTCCTCAATCTGGCAATCCGCGTGAGCATCGAGTCTGAGGAGGCGGGGGAATTGAATGCTGTCAATATTACATACTGCACCTTTAAACACAATTATTTTAAAAATAAGCTGAAATAATGCAGGCTGACAGCTTTAGCGGAAGCAATTACCATCGATTAACAACGAAGTAGCTCGCAGTAGGTCCGTCTGTAAAGGTTAATAAGTTGTCATTCAAAAACAATTTCCCTATGGAGAAATGGAATGGAGTTTTTACTTCCAGAACCCGACTGTTGCACTCGATTGGGTCTAGGGACACTGTATGCAAATGACAGATGGATAGGACACGCCCATGCTTCTGTCCAGCTGTGTTCAACCTAGCCCTCGGATGTGTGTAATTACAGAGAGAAAGGATGTGTTCGTTATATTTTCCCCTCTAGGGAGTGAGAGTCATATTCCCTACAGTGCAGTAAAGGGCTTTTCGAGTGATTTATAACAATGTTTCCTAATGCATCAATATTTGAGGAGTGAAGCATTAAAGAGACATTTTTTTACCGTTTTTTTTTTTCTTTTTCTGTGGAACACGAAGTAAGCTATTATGGGGGAAAAAAGTGGGTGTTTATTTTTCCATACAATGGACACAACACTGAATAGAAATCTGACATTCTGAGAAAAATCGTTCTGAGTCTTTTCTCTTCGCTGCAACCATTAAGGCTATTCTGTTCGAAGCTTAACAGGTGACCTCGTCACTTTTTTTGCTGTGCACAGCAACGAGATTGTCATTTCTGTAAAAAGCGTGAGAGGTCAGTTTAAGGGCTGTAAAAGTGATTGGTACAAACTAAATCTGAAGCGTAGAGGTTGAGGTGTAAAAGTTATGGAACACAGGCTGCAGAGGTCAGGCAAAAACAGCATCGATGTCAATGGAGACCGGCCACGTCAGCGGCG